TATATAATATAATATATAATAGTATATACAATATATAGTATAATATATATACTAATATTATATATAATATATATATTATATATATTATCTATTATATATTTATAATATTATACCTTGTATTGTATGCATTATATGTATATTACGGTACAGTTACTGACTTTGGTCACGTGACTACGGTGAATCCCTGTAACGTGACTTTACTGTAGTCACGTTTTTGAAGTCACGCGACTAGAGTACAGTCACGTGTTGTTTTTCCTCTTTTCACTATCACGTGACTATGTTAGTTACGTTTATAAAGACACGCGCAACAAAGTCGCGCTCGAACGGCGCGAGGCAGTACCGCTCCTCTTGATTCGTACGACATGAATCGAGAAACACATCCGAGAAACATTCAATCATCGTCGAGATAAAAGCGGCGCCAATCAAGATTGATAGAATCGATTGTGATTATTTACAAACGTTTTTTTCTGGTAAGAAAAGACGACGGAACGTAATAACATTGGAAATGATACTGCGATCGTTTTTTTTTTCACCTTTAATCACGCTTGCAGATTTATTGGATTTATTTTTGTATCACAGATTTTTAAAAATAGTGATTGCACCAAAAGTTACTCGATCGAGTGGCAATTAGGATCAACTTCTGAAGATGTTTAATGAGGAATTCAAAAATACAGTTTGAATTAAAAATCGCGATCTCTCTTTCTGTTTTATTAACGAGAGCCTATTGTCGCACTTTTCCCGCGCGGTGAAAGCAGCGAAAGTTCGGTCGGACCGACGTGCGTGACGAAAGAGACACAATATTCGACATGGGCGGCGCGCGGTGACATCGTTAGATCCGCTAGATACCCAGATGATGGTACCTGCACGAATGAGCTAGAAACTGTAGAACCGACCTATTAAGAATATGTAACGGCGTGATATACCGGTGTAACCTAAATATCGCTCTTTTGCGGCACAAATTTTCTTCCGTTTTAACGTCGAGATTTTTTTTTGTTTTACGATCGCTGTCAATTATTTTAGCGAAAATTAATTCACTTCTCTCTCGTCGATCAATCTTTTATCTCGATGGTTTTTGTGCAATTACCGGTCTTAATATTTGAGAGTCAGTGCGCGTAAAAAAAAAAAGCAAACCGAATGTCGGAGAGGGAAAGCACGATAAATCGCAAAACGCGATCGGAAAGGATTGATTTCGGAGAGTTCGTGGATTTTTCGAGGCACGTGACTCGCACGTAATCGACTATGGTGGGAGATCACATTGAATAAGTCCCTTTGAGGAGGGTTCGGCCGTCCTCGAAAAGCCCTCACGCGACTTCCGCAGACGCACGGATTTGCCGCGCGGATTTTCGAGAGACTGTTATTCCGAAAGGGAGCACCACTCCACTTCTGTGCGCACGTTCCGAAGTTCCTCAACCACAGAGCAAAAGTAAAGTGCTCCCTCTCATCTTCCCTCCTCGATCTCTCTCTCTCTCTCTCTCTCTCTCTCTCTCTCTCTCTGTTCTCTCTTTCGTTCCTTTTCGGGCGTTAATGAACGAATTGTCGGTCGTGACTTGTCGATCGATGGGATCGCGGTTTCGCGTGCGAATAAACTTTGCGGCAAATTCCGTTCTCGAATGCGGAATTTCCGGAACTACTCCGAGTCGTCGTCGTCGTAGTCCGCGAAAACCGATATCTCGTTATCGACGTATTAGGAAGTGACGGAACGCGATTATCGTTCGCGACGAGAAGGAAACGCGGAGGGCGCGTTTTATGAAGCGCATTGTTGCGCCGTGCTTGTGCGACGGCGGTGTTTCCGCGAATTATGCGCGGTTTTATGTTTATAATTATCGTGCCGCGTTAGAGCGCAGAAGTTGCGGATTATTCAGTCGCGAAGACAGGCGACAGATTGGGAAAAAAAAAGATGTAAATTCGATTCGTTGCATGTTGTGGAACAAACACGTAGAACATATACACATGCACAATCACATTAAATAAAATTAATTTAACATAATTGCGCTGATAAATTATTTTTGACATTCTCCCGTGTATTAATAATAATAATAATAATACGTGTTACTGAGTATTTCAGTTATTTCAGTATTCAGTTTTTTTTCGCATTTGTGAAAGTACGGAAAAAAAAAAAAAACTGAAACTAAACGTGCCAGTCTCATAAATGTTGTCACGAGCGTGCAGAATTTTATGGCGCTATTTGCGCCAACGGCGCAACATAAAGATACTTTCAACAAAAATGATATTCCGAAAGCGAGGAGGTTTTTTTTATATCGAGTTATGGACTGTTTTCACGTGAGCGCGAAAATAATTTTCGACGAGAGATACACTCGCGAGTGAAACACACGTACAAAGAAAAAAAATATATAAAAAACATCATGTTTGTTAAACAAACTACACGCGCGCGCGCGCGCGCGTGCATAATCTGAAACATTAATCCGCACGCGCTGTTGTGATGGATTAATGCGGAAAAATCCGCGGGATTGTGTCGCAAAAAGACGTCGTTCGATGAAATTCTTGCGACGCGCGACGAGAAAGCAGCGCTGTGAAATTTTCATGCGGCATTTTCGCGACGCGAAGAGGCGCGTGAAAAATGCGTGTGTCGCGAGAAAATTTATTTTTTTTTTCGAGAAAATTCCACGTTCCTCTTTTTTTTTATCCTCCGATGTGTGTGTGTGTGTGTTCGCCAAAAGTGTCCCGGCGGAGTAATTTCGAATCAGACGACGACGACGTGAAAATAAATTTGTAGAGCGCGTAGTTTCCTCATTTACGCCCTCATTATCGCGTAACGTTTCGCACGTATTATTCGCACGTTATACACTTCGCAGACCGAGCTGCAAGCCGCAGCCTCCGACAAAATTTCCGACAATGCCAAGGGGAAGTCTCGCGTGCGGCTGGACGATAATGTGCGGGGAACGATGATTTAACGCTTTAACCAGCGGATTGTCGCGGCCACGAGGACCGCAAAGGTTCACGAGCGGTCGTGTCGGGAACATCCCTCTCCGTGCCTCCGGCGTCGCCGCTAATTATTTATGTTGCGTCCGATCTTCGCACTTTCCGCCCGCTACGTTATAATTGAATTCGTCCGTGAGAGAAGGGTCCGAAATGTGTCCCCGGCAATTTCGCCACCCCGGCTCTGGTCGTGCCGCGCACGTTCGAGAGTCGACGAATGCTGGTGTTTAATCTCTCCCTTCGCTCTTGCCGTTCACTAGTAGTGGACGCGAAAAATTCATGAAGTGTTCGCAAGAAGAGAAGAGAGGAGGAATAATGCGCGAAGTGCACTTCACTGCGCTGTTAGTACGTTGTTACGTTACATTGTATCACTCGCGCTGTAATCGAGTACAGAGCGCAGAATACTCGAGCACCTGTTCTTTCAGCAATATAAATAATTTATCAATTTTAGATTAGGTCAATAAGATCTTTTTTTTTTGTTTTTTGTTTTTTTACCGTCTCTTCTGATGAAGCGCTTTTTCAAATTGAAAGCGCCTGCGAAGTAGGCGACCCGTCGCCCACTCCCCGTGTACGGCGAGTTGCTTACTTTCCAGGCGCAACCTCGCGTCGGAGAACCTCATGTTTGTTGACACAAATATGTTCGTCTATGTATACATTCTGTCATTCCCAGAAAAATCCGTATACTTGAAAATCGCCTTGTGGGTAGAAAACGAAAATAGCAAAGCACGAGAGAATTTTATATTGTACACGCGTGGTAATATAAATATGAATATAAGAGATATGCGAGAATACCACACAAACACGTATTACGAACGACAAATATTTATTTTGTTTCGAGAGAAATACAAATTATTGTTCCAAATAGAAGGATGAAAATGTTTTATTTTGAGAAAACGCGCGCACAGCGCGCGCAACCGCTGCAAGAATGATTTCTATTTACGTAATTGGCTTCTATCTAACCGCAGTAATATATTTTTTTTTTCTGCTTTACAGATAAATCTACGCCTCATCCTCGTCAGTGGCAAGACAAAAGAGTTCCTATTCAGTCCGAGCGATTCCGCGGGAGATATAGCGCACCATGTGTTTGAAAATTGGCCGGAAGGTGAGTTTAGTCATAGCCGTTTCGAAACTCGGCTCGCACCCGATCCGTCCATTAACGTTAATATAATTGCCGGAGCGGCGGGTTCTTTCCCGGTGTGTGTGTGTGTGTGTGTGTGTATGTGTATGTGTGTGTACGATGCTGCCTGCAATTATTTCCATTAATTACAGACGCGCCGTCGTGTCACAGTGGCTCGAAATTGCTCACAGAACGTGTCCAGGTTTAAGATTCTTCATTCTTTCGTAACGCAAAAATCGTTAAGTTAAGATCTAGAAAATGATGAGACAATTAAAATTTCACAGAAAATGTGAAGTTTTAATAACGTCTTATAAGAGAGAGATATATATATATATTATTTATTAAATATTATTTATTATTATTTATTAAATGTATTTCAAAAATTCGCGTTTGTTTTTTTAAGTACTTTACTACAAAAAATCGGAATATTCGAATCTTAAATACAAAGTAAATAAATAATATTTCGTTCGAGTGTAAATAATACCGAAAAAAGAAAATTTAAAAAGCAAAGGATATCGTAGAGTTACAGATAGACAGACGGAGAACGCGGAATTGTACTTTCAACGTGAAGGAGTTTCCGTTTTCCTCACGTCGTATTTTCCACTACCACCGCCGCTTTTTACGAGTCCGCGTTTCTGCCTTTTTTTTTCTTTTTTTTTTTTTTTTTTTTTTTTTGTCAAGAAGATTTCGGTACTCTCTCTCAGAAAGTTTCCGCGAACAGTTGGATCGTGAGAGCACTCAGCAGCCTCCCGCGAAATGTTATCTTCGTGTTGCAGACTGGGCAGAGGAGGCGGTCGCCAAGGCGGAGATCCTGCGGCTAATCTACCAGGGTCGTTTCCTGCACAGCAATGTCACGCTCGGTGCTCTTGGGCTTCCCTTCGGAAAAACTACGGTGATGCATCTGGTGCCGCGGGAGAATCTTCCGGAGCCTAATTCTCAAGGTGAATTCGCGAGTGATGAGAATTTTTCGTCCGCGCCATCCCTTCGCTTCCTTCTCTTTCTCGTCATCCTCCTCCTCCTTCTCCTCGTCGTCGTCGTCGTCGTCGTCGTCGTTCGTGAAACTTTTTATTACATCGCGTGCTTTTTCCCGCGCGCGCGTTTTTTTCGCTTCCACGGTGAAGCTTAGCGAAAAACAGACACGCGCGCGAGCAAGTCTTTTCTTTTTCTCGCGAAATGAACCCCTCTCCCTGTAGCGCGTCGCAGAAACGATAATTAAACTGCCATCGTGGACCATAAAATGGGAGACCGTGAAATACCCGGTCGTTCCTCATTGTTTCCGTTAGTCTTTATCCGCGCGCAACCCCGCCACTTCATCGTGAAACTTCATTCTCCGACGAAGTTACTGGAAATTATCGTCATTCAAGCTATAAATGGTAAAATAACCCGGGAAATTATAACATCAAGAGATTATTACGTTTTAATAATGTTTGAAACATTAATTTCAATTTACTTCTGCACACGTTTTTACTTTTATCTTACTTTTTTTTTTCTAATTATCGTGGTTTTTAATTAAGTGAAAAATACTTGAATGTTAACACAAACACACACACGCACACACCCACACGTGTGTGCGCGCGCGCGTGATATTAAAAGTGCATATATTTTTATACAGCACGCGTCTTTTCCCGGGGAAAATAGATTACCCGGCTAAGGGTTAATTCCCTGCAGCCCGTATAAAAACACGTTGCACACACTCGACCGCACTTTTATTAATATCTTCAGCTGAAAATCGCATGCACTCGTGTGTGTGTGTGTGTGTGTGTGTATGTTCGCCGTGTGTTCTTTTGCTCTCGGCCGAATCTCTTTATATCTCTCTTTCTCTATTGGCTTGCGTAAATTATTACGGCGAAATCTTGTTACAACGAGTTGCCGTTGGATCTTCAAATTGAATTTGTTACAGCGAAAGTTCGTTATATCAAGCCGCGTATTAGACACGGGGATTCAATCGCGTCTCGTTACACTGAAAATGTCGCGCGCCATCGATATTCATTATAACGGGATTATATCGATTAGCCGTATTTAGCCGCCTGTTTGATGACAATTCGCACGCATGAATATTCACTGAGGCAGTTATTTCTCACGGCACGTTTTTGTTGTTTTCCGCGTCGGATGCATCGTAGAAAACAATTTTTTTTATGTCATCGATAATGAAACGCAATCATTTATAAATAGATAGTTCACTGTTTTAAAAACTTTTCGGTGTTTCAAACAACGTTTTTGTTCGAAGAAAATTTACAGTTGTGAGAAGAAAAGTAATATTTTTTTTTTTTTTCGACACAATTTTGCGTCGGGAATATCAAGGGAAAAAATAACATATTGATTACGAAACGCGATCAATTACGTTTTTGTTTGACTATTTTTTGCTTCAGTTTTTTTTTTTTTTTTTTAGTTCTTGTAGAGGAAAATTTTTGTTTTGTTTATTTTCAAGAAGAAAATTTGGAGTATTTTTGTTGTGAATTAAATTCGGAGCGTTTATCGACCGTCATTCGCGTCTTCGCACAAGTGCACTGATAACTGCACCGCAATCATCGCACGCATATCGCTATCGATCCAACACTCGGGCTCGCTGTGCAATCAGTGCGCAAGCAGAACGGCTATCAGCGGGAGAGCTCGAATATTCATTCGGACAATCGTTCGTCGGGAACGAGATCGGCGATCGTCAACATCCAATTTCTCGCGTACAAAAACGTCGTCATTGTTCCGCGTTACAAATCGTATAAAATCTCGTGTAAAATGCGCGTTTTCAACACGCCTCACGCGCAAACCGCGCACTACATTTCTCGCACACTTCCGCTTTTTCTCTCTTTCTCTTTTCCCGAATGCGAACTTTGTTAATCGCGATTCTGATTCAATAACGAGACTTTATTTTGTATAACACGGCGTTCATTTATGTTCGATAAGAATTCAGTGGTTTATTTTCCGTTCTTGTCCTCCTCATCGACGACACCGACTTTGCACGCGCATAACTCGCTAATTATTAATCGATGAGACGGCGCCAAGTACGACGGATAAAACACGCGGCGGCCAGGTGATAATCGGCTTTGATCGGCGGAGAAGATAATCGTCGCGCACGGAGCGCGCCGCGTTGTGCAACTTCGCGAAAAGAGAGAAGGCTCTTCCTTTCAGAGAAATTCAGCTTTTTCAGCACGCGCGAACGGTTCTCGCGCGCGTGTTGTGCTCCATGCGAAATTGCGAAGTTTGCAGAAATTGCGCAATTTATTTCTGCGCAATTTCGACCGAAAACGGTCGTTGGAAATAATCACGAGGAGCGCGAGGACTCAAGCGCGCATTTTTATTTAGATATTTCTGAATTTCTCAGATTTTTTTCCCAATTTTCGAAGCAAGACAAAATTTTGTGCTCGTAACGTATTTTTATTTTTTTTTATTTTTTATTTTTTTTATTTTTAACGTTTATCGAATTTTGCTACCTAGGACGACCAATGTTGGCTCACAATTTTTTGAGATTATCAACTTCGCAGATTTTATCTCTAAGTTTTTTTGAGTATTTCTCTCGCGTGGTAGCTGCGATATTGGTTCTGCTAGATGCGAAATATCGATTTGTTGTTAGACGCCGCGTATAGCTCTATCGCGTCACTTAATAATGAAATCCCGGCGACAATCTCTCCACGACCGTTTGATCTTTCCAGGTATTCTACCTAACGGTGAGTACATGCATATCCTGCCCGACGATCCCGAACTCTATGACTTCAGATTCTGAAACGTGAGTTTTCCTAAATATCCTCCTCATCATTTACTTCCAAGAGAGAATCCAGTCTTATTAAACGTTTCCACTACAACGAATAAATATAATTACGACAAGAATAATACACACACACACACACACACACACAACAGACGTGTTCCTTTGCTTGAAAGTAAAAAAAAAAGTTTATCGTATATGACCCGCCGATTTATTTGAATCCAATAAAAATCGAGTATTAAGTCTCTCATATACGCGCAGATGTTTTACAGATTTTTGTTGAACGATTTCTCCGAAAATATAACGTTACGATTAATTGTAAATAAGATCATTTAATTTTCAATCGTTCGCAATTTTCACTCTCTGCGAAATTGTTTATAACCAGTTGTCGAGTCATCGGTTTCACAACCAATTTCGGTTTCTCGCAATCTCTTCGCGCGCGATTCACAATTATATTTATATTATTTATATATTATATTGCAAATTTATATTGGTGTATTTCTTTTAATGTGTGTTTACACTATATAAAATTGTTTTTATTTACGACGGATTATACATGTTCGATAAAAACACATGCAAAAACAAAGAGACACGTAAAACTAATAACAAGCTGAGAAGCTAACGATCGTAACTTTCTGTTGCAGATCAGAGGCAAAAGAGTAAAGGCGGCGGAAGCAGTTGCTGCTCGGCCTCCTGCTGCATACTCTAAGCCGGCCGCGACGACGTCGGTGGCCGTCGTCGTCGCCGCGACAAGTGTGTGTTGGATTAAAACCCGGTTGGATCTCTGGCGCGGATGGGCGTGCGACGTGGGCGTGATGCGGCGCGGGCTCACCCGAGCGCCGAGCCATGGTTTCTAAGATTTCACGCTGATGTATAACACGTTTTTAGTGGCTGAGCCTTCGTGAGCAGTGTAGCACCCAGGGGAACGGGACCGTCGATCGAGAGGAAAGAGAAAAAAAAAATTGTGAAAGAAGAGAAACGCCTGAGACCGCTCGAGGAGGGAGAGAGAAGCGGATGCGGGCTGCGACAACAACGACAACGACGACGACGATGACGACGTCACGTTGTCGCACCGGCGGCGGCAGCGGTCGGGGGATTGTCGGCTCGGTTTTGCAGTAGGAGGCGACAGTGCGTGCTCGATCGATACGCACTCGTCAGGAAAATCCGCTCGGGAAGAACGAGCGGACGGAGAGCCCGGTGATGTGTATTCCGTTATTATAGTTTACCAGACACAAGAGAGCGTCGTCGGGAGATCGTTCGTCGGCAAAGAACGGCGAGTGTCGCCGAGCGGCATCGTTGTCGTCGTTGTTATCGTCGTCGTCGTTGTCTCTTCCTCCGAGTTTGCGCCGGTAGCAACGGTCGACTAAACTTTGGGCTTAACGACGTTACTCCGGATAACGTTACGGCACACGCGTTGTGATACACAGACGGACGTGAAAAGGATTTGATTAGTCATTAATTAATTACGTTAACGCTCTTTAACCGAGTTTCCCCTCGTCCCCCCTTTTCATCGGCGCCGTTCCCCTTTCAGTTTACGCATTGTTAGAACGTCCGAGGGAGAAAAAGAAGATAGAAATTACTCCCGCGAAGTTACGTAGCCAGTTAGCTCAAAGGGAGTCGACCCTAAATCAATTTTTATTAATTTAATTAATCGGTTAGTTTCACATATAATCGTGTTTCTTCATGGCATCGCAACGTTTATTATTATTATTATTATTATTATTATTATTATTATTATTATTGTAATGTAAGTTTGAATTTAGGATTGAATGGCGTAATCAGCCAGCCTTAATTAAATTTTATTTAGGAGATAATATTCGTCCCTTTTTATAGACCGTAAGCGTATAATCATGTAATATCGAAGAGCGAAAAGATAAAAAAAAATGCAAGTTCAATCAACCGCGGATTAAATTGACACTTTCGATCGATTAATTCCGGTTTGTTTCAAAATCACGGTTCTCTTTTCCCGGAATAGCGAAAGAGCTTGGAATCAATTCGTGATTCTAAGAGACGTACTCTTCTCGTCGGTCAAACTTAAATGTCTTATTTGGTTCGACTGCAATTATAGTTGATTCCTTGAAAAGAGTTTAAGTTTCCGGACGATGGAAAAGACGATCAAAATCGCGCTGTGTGTTCGCGAACGTTCGTATAAAAGATCCCGGCGCGTAGAAGAGGAAACTCCCGGCGCGGGCACGAAGTGACAGACTTTTCCTGAGAGAGCGAAATCAGCGACGTGGCAAACGTAGTCGTCGGTTTCGCCGAGTTCTTATTCGAGATATACGCGCCCTGAAAAGGCGCTACAAGGCTTGGAAACTCAACCACTATTCCCAGTACATATATATATATATATATACACACATACACACACATACAAATACACACACACATACACCGCAGCGTTAATAATAATTACCGTAGACGGGATCGTGCGCGTGCTTGCATATAAGTGTGAGTGTGTCGCGTTCGAGTGTGAGAAGGTTGATGGAACGAATGAAGAAATGTGCGAGCGAGAGAGAAAAAAATCGAAGAGAGAATAAAATTTATGTTGTGATAATGCAGGTAGCGAATATATATATATAAATATTATATATACATATATGTATGTATATACAGGTCATCCCTCGGCCAATCGCTGCGTCCCGCCGATGGTATTTATCGCGTTGGTGCTTTTATGAAGGAAAACGGTGACAGAATTCGAGAGAAGCGGTGAGAAGCACAGACTCTCACTTCAGTAAAACAGTAGGTGTTATTCGATGTGATAGAGAGAAGTAGGTTCGAGAGACTGACGCGAATACAGCGTCCGCGAGAGAGACAGAGACTTGCGATATTTTCTTAAACTCATTCCGTGTGCGTCGAGATCGCTCGCGTGATGCGTATCGTTCGGCGCTGTGGCGCGCGATTGGCTCGGAGATACACCCTGTGTATTATGGGATGTTGAAAGACAAGAGTGCGAAAATCTGCGGGCATAAACTTTCTCGAATTTGACCGGTCTTCTATTTTTTTTTTTTTTTTTTCAGACGTCAACTCGACGCTTTCATGTGGTTTTTTTTTTTTTACGCATCTTGATTCTGTCGAGTCTCTGCGCGACACGAAAAATCTTAACAAGCATTAAACCTCCGTTTAACATCAAAGTTAAAGGAAATAAATGTCAAAGCTTCGTTTGATAACGTACAGAGTTGAGGCGAACATTAGATTTAGCGCGAAAAGCGAAGATGTAAGATAATTAATTAAGTCTCTACTTTATCGCGTTAAGGTTTTTTTTTTTTTTTTACTTGAAACGTTTTATTTGAGTACTTTTTCCGATTTCAGGTGTTCAAAACAACCTTTAAACATCTAAATCTTTATCGCAAATTTGTTATCCGTGTGTTCGTACATTCCTTAGAAAAGCTTCTCTCTGGAGAAGATAAAGAACTCAAACAAAAAAAAAAGGAAGAAAAAAAAGCAATTGAGAACAGAAAGTTATTTTTGGCTACGATGAGACTTGCGAAGAGTTTTATACGTTCGCGTGTTTTTGCACATGCTCCTCTTTCGACAACCCGTACACGTATATAAAAACAAAAAAAAACAAAAAAAAAACACCTATTGTCGCGAAGTCGCGTGTGCACATCGAGCACGCATCGTCCGTTTCGACGTGCGTATGTTTCGCGACGTGCATCCGCCACTGTGTGTAAAAATGAAGAACACGTTGACGCGCAATTTAAGCTCTCGTACGAATAGGCAACTTTATTATCATACAAATTAAAAAAAAAAAAAAAAAAAAGAAGAAGTAATATTATATTATATATGACATCACTTTGAGAGTTTAGTATATTCCGGAGTATATAAGATTATGCAAAGAGAAGAGAGAGAGAGAGAAAGAGTGAGAGAGTGAGAGTGAGAGAAGAAAGAGAGAAAGAACATTGGATCTCTAATGAATAGTTTATGGCTAAATGAGAAAAAAACTCAAATATATTTCCTGTTATATAGAAAACTTCTTTTTCCCCCCTCTCGTCCCCCCCCTGTCGGAATCTCTATTATTCCACCCTCTCTTGTCCCTTTCGCCCCGCGTCATCCTCTCACCACTCCATCCCCTTCGTGTACCCGTCCATGCGAATATGTCGGGCCTAGAACGTCGCTCTCGTTAAGACCCAAGAAGTTAATTCCGCGCTATGGATTTTACCATGCCCGTAAATCGATCGTAGATAGATCCAATCAAACGACGAATGCGTTGTAGGCGATTCTCCACACACATATACACACAAAATACACGTGTACTCTCTGAACACATTCTACCTTATGCTACCGTAATCGTACTCTGTAACTCTTACGAACTGCATAATCCTGTGTATATAATATATAAATATATATAAATATATATATAATGCAATGTTCTTACTGTAGTTATATCTCGCGAAGAAGCGAAAAAAAAAAAGCCAGAAAATTTGCGATTGAAAGCGCGCGAGCTATATTTAATTTATTTCTTTACACTCACACATACACATCATTACACACACACACATACACACATTCGCGATGCGACCATGTTTGTACATTTCGAGATCGTTATTAGTACCTGCCTGACTCATAAACCTGTGCCATACCGGAATTCTTTTACGCCCTCTCCCCTCCGTCTTCACTCTTTCTCTCCTTCTCGTCTCCTTTTCTCTGCCGATTCTCCTTCCTGTTACGAACGCTTTTTGTAACGAAGCGCAAGAGAGATATATTTTTGCTTGTCAATGATCGCGCGAGATGCGCTCGTCAAACAGTTGCGAATAACAAAACAAACAAAAACTGGCGAAAATTAAGATTCTGCGGCAAACAAAAAAAAAAAAAAAAATCAACGGGATGCTCTGTCGACCGGAACATATCAATATATAATCCGAGAGAGTCCGAGTTTTGCGACGACAGAGTCTCCTCCGGAATCGGGACACGGTCAATCCCGCCGTTGCGTCCTTTTCCGCGGATTAAAGTCCCCTCGCCCGTAATTCAGAGGGAAATCGCGGGAAGGGAAAATTCAGTCGTCGGGCGCGGGATTAGCGCTGATCGATGTCGCCGCAATCGAGCCCTAAATGCTGCTGCTGGCGGCGTCACCGATGCCTGATACACAGAGAGAAAGAAAAAGAGAGAGAGAGAGAGAGAGCAGTCAATCAGACCGATTGAATCGAACGCTGCAGGAAGGACGCGAGTCGTCGACTTATTGTTGTTCGCGAGCGAATCGGAAAAATTCACCCGCCATTGTACGGCTGCGCGTTGTGAAAGATTGAATTCTCTCTCTCTCTCTCTTTCTCTGGAAAAATACCGTGCAAAAATGTAATCGAACGTTCGCGACCTCTGCGATTTCCGCACACACATCATACATTGTATATTTATTTTAATTATTTTCACAGAGAAAAACCGCAAAACCGGTTTAATGAACCGTTCGGCGACAATTGTGTTTTGTTTTGGTTTTTTTTTTTTACAAACTCGTTCGTTCGTTTTTAAGATGACATATGTTCCGCTCTCGGTGATCGATTCTTTTTTGCCACATCGCGCGCGTAGATTATCGACGATTATTTTATGTAAACAGAGCGGTTGCGTGTGTGCGAAAATTTGCAAATGTTTTTACTTAGAAAACAATTTGTGTTTTATATCACAGAAACGCACAGCGATGGCCAAACTCGTCTCTCTAACTCGTCTCGGAAAAACCGAGTTTCTTTCTTCGGATTGTGTACAAAAGAAATTTATCGAAAGCAATATCCGAACTTCCGTGAACTTCGGATTAAAATTTGTTAATGGAATTAAG